GTTATTAATTTTTTTCCTGTATGCTTGTTTATTTGATATCCTTACTAATTGTTTATTCTCTTCTCAATGCAGGTTTGCTAATCATGGGCAAGTCCAGCAGCGCCAGTTTCCTCAGTAAATTCAAAGGACTTACTCGGAGTGGACGAGCCCACAAGGTTCCCTCCCGACTACGCGAGGATGACACCTCACAGGGAGGTGGAGGGGTCGGGGGAGGAGACCCTAGAGGAGGAGGGGTGGGGGAGAGCCCCTAGAGGAGGAGGTGGTGGGGGAAGAGGCAGTCGGGGCAAAAAACTCTGGGCCGTGTCCGAAATAGGAGGGTCTTCTTCGATGCCCTCCTATACTGAGGCACCTTCTGAGTCTGAGGAGGAGGAGTATGTTCCTGATGGCGATGAGGAGGAGGGTGAGGAGGAGGGCGAGGAGGGTGGTGGAGGGGAGGTTGACCCCGAGTTGTGGGGTGACTTGCCACCGGGTGCTCCGCAGGGGTGGCTGCGTGGTAATGTCGGAGTACCTACACCACCTTCTATCGAGGTGCACAAGTGACTCATTAAACCTGCGGGGACAGAGTAAGTGCCTCTCAATCATATTTTCAACACATGACAACCTTTTCTTATTGTACACATGGCAATCCTTTGATTCTTTTGCAGTAACTGGATCCTTCGCGGAAAGGGCCGTAAACCGAACGGCCTTATCACTGTCCTGTTGAAGGAGTTTTAGCATGGGCTATTCTGCCTGCGGCCAGACAGGGACCCGCAGCTGCGGGTTTTGGCCACGAGCTGGGCCCACTATGAGGCTTGCAGCAACGCGGAGTACGGGACGGCCGCTAAGGCCGCGATCACCAAATTTTGGGTAAGTTCTCTTCTGAATCACTTATCTTCAGTTTCGTTCATAGTTTATCATTTAATCACTCAACTCATGCCTTGTTTGCTTCTGGTTTATGCATGATTGCAGCAACTCTATAGAGTTCTTGACGAGCACAAGGCCAGAGCCGACGTGGTCTTGCTTGCGGCTGCGAAGAAGAAAGCTCGTCAGTTGCAGTATGAGGTGCGCTGGGTTGCCGTCTCGCAGTACGAACACATCTACCTGCACCAAAAGATGACCAAAACTCAAGCGCAGAAGCAACGACTTACCTTGAACAGGGAGCAGTTCATGATGGTAACTATTAGTGACTTTTCATTGTTTCAAGCAGTCAACTATATGTTTCGTGCTCACATGTCATGCTTCCAAAATTTGCATAGGTTGTTCCTCGTTGGTGCTATGGAAGGCATGACGGATGGGCGAGTTTGGTGGATAGGTGGCTCGGCGACGATGCAGAGTTTGCTGCCAAGAGCATCAAGGCCCGGGCTAACCGTGGAAAAGACGGGACACACGGCCAAGGAAACAGGAACCACTGGGGCTTCAAGGCCATGAAGGTATATCTATATGCATGATGCATTTTTGTTCTTCTTTACCGTCATGTTCTTATGTATGGCTAACTTCTGTTTGACGTTGCAGGAGGACAAGTTGAAGAGGCCGCTCTTAGACATTGAGTCATGGAAGCTGGCCCGTGAGCGGAGTGATCGCAAGGACGGCGAGAGCCAGTACTACGGCAAGACCGAGGAGCGCCTGGAGTCTTACACTCAGAACTATCAGAAGTTGCATCCGGATGTTCCTGTTCCTGAGGTCGCCCAGTCTCAGATCGACGACACGGCGGTGGTGGCCATCCAGGGGAAGTCACATGGCCGGTATCCGTGTTTCGATGGCTTGATCACTCCTTCGATCCCGTACACACGGCTCCGGGCTACCAACCCGAGCCAGTTAGAGAGTACGAGGCGTTCACAGACACCCTTAGCCCGCCATCATGCTGTAAGTACTTCCCCTTTATCTTCTTTCTCTCTAGCATTCTCATTTTATTTTCAGCATTGCTCACTTAGAAACAACATAAATTATGTAGGCATATAAGGCCTTTGTCGAGCATAGGAATCTCGAGGTGCGAGAGTACTTGCAACGAGTGAAAGCAAACGATATTACAACCATCAGATGATGACGGTTAGTTTTGCCCTCTTAAAACCAAGCTAATTTTTTGCACTTTCATTCCTTCTGACCTTCTAGTTTGCTTGTTTAACTAACATCCAGGCTATGTTGGCGTCTTGGAATAACTGCACAGATCCACCACAAATGGGACCCCCACCACCACCTGCGGGAGAACCCCCACACGCGCCCACGTTCAATGAATGGGTGGCACTAGGCAGTGATAGTCCGGTTAGTACATTTGCCTAACTACTGACAAACTAGTTCTTGTTCATTCAACACTATCATATCATATTTACCGTTAGAATCTTCTCTCAAACATGTAGGGGACCGGTGGCTCGACTCCTGCTCCGTCGACCCCAGTCACTCCGATCTAGCAGAGTGGTTGTGGTCGCGGTGGCGGTTTTGGCGGAGGTGGTCTTGGCGGTGGTGGTCTTGGTGGTGGTGGTCATGGCGGAGGTGGTCTTGCTTGATGTCGATGATGATACTCGTGCATGTGGTCGTCATTTTATGTTCATGAATGTTCCATGTCTTGCACTACTTTTATGTTCATGAACTTTCGCTGGTGATGATCTTTAGATGATGAACTTGACTATGTTTAAATGATGATGATGAACTTGAGTATGTTTAGATGATGAACTGTCATATTTCTTCATAATCCCATATTATTCTGCTTTGAAATGCTGTCAAATGAATTGAAAAGGAGAAAACGGGGGTAAAAAAACTATGCCTATGGCAAAGCCGTCGGCATAGATGAGCCCAGGGCTTCTATGCCGACGGCTTTGCCGTAGGCATAGCCCTGCCGCTAGGAGGCACCAGGGGACGACACGTGGCACGGTTATGCCTACGGCAAAGCCGTCGGCATAGATTCCACCGTAGGCATAGCCTTGCCACCAGGAGGCACCATGGAATGCCACGTGGCGGATGTATGCTGACGGCAAAGCCGTCGGCATACCTCTGCCACATGGCATTGTCGTCGGCATACATCCGCCACGTGGCATTCCGTGAATCGTCAGCGCTTTTGACGGCGCCGTCCGTTGCCGTCAGGCGAAAAACACTACCGGCGGCTAAACTATGCCGACGGCTGACGCTCGACCGTCGGCATAGGCCCCTATGACGACGGCTATACTATGCCGACGGTCTGACAAGACTACGCTGACGTGATCTACGCCGACGGGGCTATGCCGACGGCAGTCGTAGGCATAGATCTATGCCGACGGGAAATGACCTATGGGCCGTCGGCATAGGCCACGAGTCCAGTAGTGACCGACCGGTAAATACGTCTGAGTCCGTCACGCAGACGTGTTAGCGTGCACAGATGTGTTATTCTCTAAACCATGCACATGTTGTCAGATTTGGTGCTATATATTTGTTCTAAGATTGAATTTGACTCTATTTATATCCCTCGGGAACTCATACTAGCTACTAAGACACGAGAACTAAAAAGTAATCAAACGTCATACATAGATGGAAAAAGGAATATGCAATGTTTGACTATACACAGGTTAGGGCACACACAGCAAAAACATATATGCTTCACGTCCAATAAAGTGAATACAAAATAATTTGTCTGCAAACGCTATTGTTCCTGGTCATCGGTGCCAAACAGACATTTTACATGTCATGACAATAGAGTCTTTTAGTTGATTTCCATAAAGCTATTGTTTCAAACTAGCGCCCAAGGAATCCTGTTGTTAATTGATCCATTATTTATGTTATATCATTATTAAACTTATTCACTATATGTCCAGCCTGATTAATGAAAATTGGTGTTTGCTTAGGAGCGGAGCACGTCAACTTTTTTTTTCGTTGCAACGGGCATGTTTGCTAGTAGAGATTAAAAAAAATGTTTTGGTCGGCCCATCCGTCTGTAAATACGTTTTCCTCAGTTTCCCGCTTCGCTACCTTACCAAGTCAAAAACGAATTAGCGCAATCTCCCGGTGCGTTGGATCGATCCCTCCCCACATAGTCGTCATGCAGCCTCGTCCAATGGATGCATCACCGTGCTCGATAGACCCTCATGCTCGTCCAAGCCCGACACTGGCGTTCTGCATGTGCCATCGACCGTTGCCGCTGTCCGGCCGGTTGCCGCCGTCTGCTCCAGCTTGTTCAACCCGATCGTCACGCCTCTCGTCGTGGCTTCCGCATCCAGGAAGATGGCCAAGGCCGAGGCCGGCCAAGCCCAGACGCCCTCTTTCGGGAGCACACTTCCAGGGCGGTGATCCTTTATCGCACTGCGTCCGCCTCCCAAACAAAGGCAGCCATGCGAGGAGGTCGGGAGCTCGCGCTGATGGCATAACGGCAGCCTTGCAGATGTATCTCCGCGTCCTCTGCTTCAATTTTGGGAGATTGAAATTGATGCTCACAAATTTGAAACGCGTGAGAAGGAGTAGGCATGTGGAGAGAGAGAGAGAGAGAGAGAGAGCTGGAAAACTAGAGCGGGTGCTCCCTCTCCCTCCGTTTAGCTCCAGGTGAAAACTTGATCTTCGGATCGAACGGTGACGACATTCCGGGAAGATGTGCCGTCCTGTGTAGGTCGAGACTCAGAACGGGTTCTCTCTCGTTTCCAATGAAATTTCATCGAACTTCGGAGATTTCAGTACGTACCAAAACATTTGTATTTCGGCCTATCCCGTCGACGCATAAATCCACGTAAAATTAGAATGATAAGGTAAAAACTGTAACTGGGATGGAACAGCACAGACCATACACACAGGACACAGCGAAGCGCATCTGCTGGACGATATAGCAACAGCGCAGATTAGCATTTTCGATATATGTCATATGTACACTCCAAACCAGTAGTCTGCATGTCATACTCCTAAAACTTCTGTGACTGAACAGTCCCATCACAGAGAAAAAGGATGGCACGAAAGGGTGGACAAACAGCTAATGGAAAAGGTCGAAAACTATAATACATCCGAGGATTTGGTGAATCGCAGTTGGCGGCATCTAATTAAGATCAGAGCAAGAACTATTTTTTGCATGTTATCTACGAAGGCTGCAGTGCCTGATCCCATAGCTTTTTCCTCACGATCAGGACTCTTTCATCGTCACCTGACGAAAGTGCGTCATTCTTCGGTTTCATCTCAGAGGACCAGTCATCCCATCTCAGCGCCGGTAGAAGCTTCTTGATGTAGTTTACCACAGAAGCTTTGTCTCTGATAATGGCGTACCCATGAGGCCTCATGATGCGGTCCATCTCGATCAGCAGATCCTCCAGGCTGCAGCCCTCATTTACCATCTCAGAGAACAGCAGCCAGGCGTGAAGGAGGTCGTAGGTACGAGGGTAGGTCGAGAATGACTCGCACCTTCAGTAAAAAGATAAAAAGTAAATGAAATTATCAAGCAGCAGTCAATTTTATGGAGTAGCAGCAGGAAGCATCACGTATGGAAGTACAACGAACAGGCAGACAATGCACAAGAAACTTCTTTCAGTGATTACCGCAAACCCGATATGGGAAGCATTATCTTACTAATTGACCAAGAGATTCTGGCATAAATGTGAATCAAGAATCGGAACTGTTAGGCAATACTGGAGTGCCAGATGTGGAGACCGGCATCTGGTTTTTCATCTTGGTGCAATTCTAACGTACAATTTATAACAGCTAGGAGGAAAAATCTACGTGGAGAGAACTCTGGTTCCAATCATGACAGATTGACAGTATATCTGGAATGTGACGGGTGGTTAACTTTTTTTAAAGCATGCGGTCGATAGCTGCCCATTTTATGAGTAGTGATACTAAATACTTCCACAAAATCGCATGCACCTCTGAAAAATGAAACAACATAATAGTACTATTGCTACACCTCATACAGGAAAATATACATCGCTTCTGAAGCACCAAAATGTGGTATGCATATGGATAACCACTAAAAAACAAAGCCCGTGTACCAACATTGCCAATTTGTTGATCTCGTTCCACAATTAAACCTCTGCTGAAGCTATAAAATTATCCTACTGTGCCACTGGACAACAAAGGTTCTAAGAACTTAAGTATGCATAGTAAACATTGAAACAATTGAATCTGAAATAAATAGATGGGGAAGTAGGGCAGAAGGTATTGCACAAAGATCTTACCAATTATGGATTGTCCCAATTAAACCACGATCATATATGATCTTCAGTTTTCCAGATTCCATGAAAGGGACTACATTCATTACCCAGACATCCTTTTTCCTCAGTGATGCTGCAAACCCACCAAGGTTAGCATTCATATCCATAACATTCCTAAAGGAATCCTTCTGTATCTCAGTTTTCATAAGTTTCCAGTAGAGAACAACTCTAGAATGCCAAATTTCCTGCAAATAGTATTCCAAGGTCAGAACATCATGATCTATAGAGTGCAGGTTCGTATCACAGAATCAGCCAATGAAGTACTAACGCTGTCTTCAGAAAAATTCTTTGAACTGATTCCGATCTCTTCCAGGCGAGGGGGTGGTGCTGTGAGCCTTTGTGGCCAGGGAAGCAGTTCGCTTCCTTTAAACTTGTTCACTCCTGATTAAATAAAAGAACAGTATAGCATCAGCGTACGGGTATGCTAGGCCAACGTGTGATGTTTAATATGAGAGTTATTTATGGAAGACCTACAAGTGTTAATAGTTACGGCACCAGACAAATATACATACATGAATAGATGAACTCAACCAAAATACGGCAGTGTTCTACTACAATTTCAAACTAAAAATGTTAATTGCAGAAACTTAGCCTATCTAAAGAAATTCAAAACCAAATACAGCGATATTATGCTACAAATTCAAACCATATGAAATGCAGGTAACCAATGATGGTGCCATGCAGGTATTGTGTCATGGCCAGCAAATCAGCAGCAGAAGGTAACCTGTGGATGCCACAAATTGCAGAACGAGGTGGTAGATGATGTCTTAATGGCGTGTGATAGAGCGAGCAACACGTGGTTTCAACATATTTGTGGGTCATAAGGTGGACCCATCATTACAGGGTTGGCAAACATGTGTGAACTTTTGCCAGGCTGGAGTATATTTGAAGCAAATAAATACAAGAATGCAGTAGAATAGACAATGACATTCAGTAATAATCTTGAGGAAAATCATAGAGGAAGCTCACTCTTGGAGTAGGGAGTTATGCATGCTTTCATGAGGACATTCCAAGCAGCATCTGGGTCATCACCATGGCCACACATGGGAGGAAGTGCTCCAGGCAATCTCTTCATATAGCACCAATTTGCCAATGGTTTGACCCATATCACTGTCTGGTCCTTCCTTGAAGCAATCCTCCAACACATCCTCCGAGCGAGATTGCTCATCTGCCTCCATATCTTCCTGTTCAATGGATCGGGAGCATAAGCCTCTGGTGAAGAATAAACAAAGTAGCCTCCAGGCCTCAAAAGCCTATCCACTTCCAGCAGCAAGAGCCCACCCCTCTGCAACCAGTCAATTCGACAACGGGAGCAATGCGCCAGCTCGAATGAGCGGCTCGGATATGGCAGCCTCCTTGTAGCCAGCACGCCAAGGGTTGATGGTATCCCCCTCTCAAGGGCGAACTGAATTTGGTTCTCATGCACATCGTTGGGAGCAATTGACATTGCGATTATATCTAGATCAAGAAGGTAGGCCCCGAAGGTAGCAACCCCGCAGCCAATATCGAGCACATTCCTGATGTTGCCTTGGTTGTTGAGCTTGCCATAAGGAAACTCCAGCATCTGCACCAAAACACCGTCAGCAGCATTGCTATCATTAGCTTCCAAGAAAAAAAGGGAATTAACCAAAAGGTGGTGAATTGGGTGCTAGGACCTAGGAGGAATGTGGAGCATTTCAAACCTGTGCAAGGTGCACAATGTACTTGTGGGCGCCGGGGTGAAAGCGGGTGCCCACACCAGGGAAGCTGATCTTGTCGCCGTTCTCCACCATCCACCCCTGGGCTGACTTCTCCGAGGCAAGGTGCGTGTGGGGTAGATTTGCCCTCCACACCTCGTCCCGGCTCCTCGGCCACCTGATGGGCACCTAAGCATCATCGCACCCAAAACCACATCCACATCATGGGCATGAGCGAGAACCACCAAGTAGAGAAGAGAAATCTGCAGCAGCTAGCGAAAAACAAAGAGAAATGCATCGTGGTGGCGTCGTCGTCTCTTGTACGGACCAGGTAGCCGGCGGGTAGGGGGATGAGGCAGTTGAGGCGGCGGGGCGCGGGCGGGCAGTGGCGCTCGTAGTGCTCCATGAGAGGGACGTTGAGCCTGAGGCGGAGCTGGCGGTGGAGGCCCCGGTCCAGGCACGGGATCAGCTCCGAGTGCCTCGCGTCGCACACCTGCACACACACAGAGGCGGCAGCAGAATGCCTAGCGAGTCAGCAAAGCAAATCGAACCTGCTATTAGCAGGAGGAGGAAGCGACGGTAGCTAGCTGGGGCATGCGGACCGGGAGGGAGGAGAGCACGAGGTCGCCGGGGACGGGGGCCCGGGGCCGGAGGC